TGCTTGTATATTCATGCGTTAATGCTTTCTCTGTGTGTCGCCTTCTCCACATCATGTCTCTAGCAGCTCCCGTGAGTCTATTTTGGCACTTTGCTCCACAGCTCTGTGCCATGTGGACACACATACACACACAAACACACACACACACACACACATACACACACACAGAATACAACAACAAAATAAAATAAATAAGTAAAAAGTGAATTTAATAAGAAGAAAAGAGAAGAGAGGAGTGGGAAAAATAATGAGAATAAAAATGAGAAATTGAGAAAAAGTTGCAAGAAAACAACAAAAGCTGCTAACTGCTCAGCTGTAAACAGGTGGAGGAGTTATGAATAATTTACGTGGCATATACAATTCAACATGCTATTACTATTGTAGAATGACGATCATGAGTTGTGTATCGTGTCATTTTCCTGCATCCATTTTGTCTTGCAGCGGAATCAAATCAATAGTTTGTAAAGCCCAAATCTCCTGTGTTGCTGACCTGAAAAGTTCCAAGCCTCTTTCTTCCAACTTTCGAATTGCTGACAAAAAATGAACTAAAACTTGATTTTTCTAAAATGTTCCTTTAGGGCATTCAGCCATAGAGCAGAAGTAATTCAGCAAGCCTGTGGTAGGAATGACAAAGCTGGACAATGAGGACAGTGGTAGTTCAAGCAGAGCCATTGTGCATTCCCCCACTTCTGCTGTCTTAGACCTTCATTGGAAACCAAACCCTGCCACAGTAAACCAAGTGCCGTTTTCACACTGATTTATACCTGGAATATAAAAATGATTTGGAGAAATAGTTTGAGGCACCAACAGTCAAACATCCCTTTGATGTTAACAGGCGGTAAATCAGGTTTCAGAGAGAGAGGAAGATGAAGAGGGAGACGGCGCGATGGGGGAGGGAGGGCGAGGCGGAAACAAAGGAAAAAGAGAGGGTCAAGAGAGGGAAATAGGGGATGTTGGGGGAGATATAAAGAAAGTTAAAGGGAGAGAAGAAAGACGGAAATTGAAACGAGCAAGCAGAGAGGAGAAGGGTTGGGCACCTTTCCTTTTATGTTGGAGAGCGGGAGCAGAGAGACGAAAGTCAAATTGAAAGAAATTAAAAGGTGAGGGGAGATAGAGAGGAAACGGTTTAGCTCTTATGTACAAAATGTTAACCTCTTTTGAGATGAAAGGGTTTCATGAGGAAGCCAGAAAAAAATATCTCACCACACTAAATGTGTGTGTCAGCGCTGTGTGTGCTTCTTTGTGTTGATCAGGGAAAGTCTGATCCAGCCAGACCTTGACAATAATCAGCCGGAACCTGATGAAAAACTTCAAGTCAATATTTCAATGTCAAAAATCACAAATGTTCTTCAAATTCTCCCTCCCCTCAACCTCTCTAGAGCTAGTAGTGAGTGTTGAACCTCTCCTTTACATATTTTATTATTTTACTCTTCTTATTGAAAAACTCTTTAACACATTCACAAGCGTTTGCTGGCTGGCAAGTTAGCATCAGCTGCGATGAACATTTTGCTGCAGTGTGTGTTTGGTGGACTCATGCCGAGGCCAAGTTATCTGTTTGCATGAATCAGTAACATTTAAAAATGATTGAAGAGAAATCATACTTTGTCACAGTGAAAATATGAAAGTAACATTTATCGTTTCACGTATGAGTTTTTCAAGTTATCAGGGAGATTAAATGATGCTTTGGCAAACATTTTCTCTCTCATTGTTGAAGTGTATGCATGCACGGAGCGACGTGAGCATCCCGTAGAAGGCTGAGTACAACTGCAGAGTTGACTGTTGCACATTTTGAAAAATAATGTAAAAATATTGGTGTTCTCCCTTAAAATACCCACAGTAAAATATCTTGGTTTTTTACACTGTACCATGTTACTCCCACTAGGTTGCTAAAACTAGAATTCTCAGATATACTTAGAGGACACACACATGTTTAAGGTTTCAAAAATACAAAGCAGTAAAATAAGTAATAATTGTCAATAAATTAGTTGTGAAAAAAAAAGTTGCCAGCTCAAATTCCTCCTTGGAAAATTAAGGCTTTGGGAAGTTAACAAGAAATGCACAAATTCTATGGTTTCCCACAAAATTCAAGACAAGTGAAGCCCCCTCTGCTGGACAGCAGCCTGGTATGACTGGATTGATATGAAAGACGGTGTTGCTGAAAGAGAGCACAGACACTAGGGAGCTCTAACCCAATTAATGTTTAGAATACATATATACATTTATAAACTGAGCAGTGTAATGAATGGGAGGCAGGGCCGAGGGGGAGGAAAGGCTAAATGTATGGAAATGAGCTGTTTGGCATATTAAGGTGGAAAAACATTTAGGCACACAGGCAGTGAGAGTCAAACAGACTGTATATGAGAGAGACAGACAGAGAAAGTCGAACAAAGGGAGTTCATGTTGAATGTAAGGCTGAGAGTGAAATAGGAAGGGTGGGGAGTGTAAGTGTAGCGTGGAGAGATGAAAGAGAGATTAAAAAGGAATATAAGTGTGAGAAAGAGGGGGAGGAGCAGGGGCATCGTTAGGCCTATTTTAGGGGGCCTGAAGCCCCCCTAAAATGTTCTTCAGCCCCCCCAAATAATTTGGCATTATTGGATTTAAAAAAATATATATATTTTTTTTTTTTTTGGTGATGTCATTAAATTAAACTATTGTTTCTCACATGGACAAGTTATTTATAACTCTAACATGCTACATATGTGCGTGCGTTCTGGTTTGTATGTTTTCTCCCCCTTCAAATTACAATCCAATAGCCCATCATCATACTTAACGATATACAGTTGACACTGTCAGGTCCATTCTCCATCCATTGTGTGCGGTCCCTTTAAGAATTAGGATTTGGGAGTGACGCAGATATGAAAGCTAGTTTATCCGTCTTTCCTTTACAAGCAGGAAAATTATTTCTCTCTTTATTTGAGAAAAGTTCATATTTGTGTTGTCAAATTTCACTATGACCCTGAAATTCTGTCTCTTGTGTTATCATATACTGAATGCAAGCAAAACTACAGAGCAAAATCACACTCTCTCTGATTGAACCAATCTATGAACTGTCTGAAACAATGGATATCCACGGCCCCAAATGGGCCCCAAAGAAAATTGTCACGTGCTACGCACGCAAACATGACCTCTTTTGGATGATTTTAGTCCGTTTTCTTTGTATTTATTGACAATCATAGTTTTATAGCTTGAATATGCAGAGGATTGAGCAAAAAAACTCACAATATCCCTATACGGTTATGATCAATTTCCTTTCTTCATGAACCCATTGTTGGTTAAACATGTGGGATGATTTGTCCAAGAAAATGTCGTCTCAATCAGTCATGCAGTCAGTCAAGCAAGGAGGGTGAAAATGAAACTGACTAAAATCCGTGCTTCTCCATTGTTCTGCTTGTCAGAGTGTCTTTCAGGGTGCTGTCCACTTTCTGAAACACAACCATAGTAATCTGGTGTCTACATGGATGTTTTGCACTTCAGTATCAATGGAATTTGATAACCACTGTTCTAAAACTAGATATCTGCTTTTCCATAATTATGGAAAAACCCATACTGGTGCGTAACTACAGTCAGGTTGAGAAACAAGACATTTTCCACGGACTTGACTGTCTGTGATGATTTTTATACTCAAACAGACTAGTCTACGGTGTTTTAGTCGTACCAGAAAATATTATTACATTAACCTATAAGATTGTTAACATTTGCAACAATATCAGTACTGTAGTATTCTACTGTTGTTGGTGTTCAAGCTAGAGCTAGTTTCAACTACAAAAGATACAATTACAATAGGTAGTGCAGTCCGGTGTTTTCCACCCTGGGTGTCGGGACCCTTCTAAGGGTCACCAGATAAATCTGAGGGGTCACGATAACGATAGTTTACACTGAAAGTTGAGCTGTGACTGACTCCACGGGCGGATTATGAGACAATTGGCCCCTGGACACAGACATGCTGAGGGCCCCACCATCTCATCTACATTGGAGTAAGACACAGACTTTGGGATGCTTTTTCTTGTTGTAATCTCATTGTAATCGACATGCATCTTTTTGTGATTTCTCGTTTCTTTGATGTCATTTTGGTCGTTTGTGTCTCTGAGGTCATTTTGTTTGTGTTTAGCCTTTTTTTGGTCGATTTGTTTCTCTTCGAATACATTTTGTGTTGTTTTTTTGTCTTTTTGTGTCCCTTTGGAGGCATTTGTGTCTCTTTGCAGTCATTTTTTGTTTCTGTGAGGCCATTTTTTATCTCTTTGAGGTCCATACAACTGACATTTTGCAAGTGAAGGGCAGGGGGGCCCCTCACTCTTTGGGCCCCTAGGCCTGTGCCCGGTAGGCCCGTTGGGTAATCCATCCTGGTGTTAAACATGTAACAGAATGTGTAACTGTAAAATGTAGATGTGACTTTATATGAATTATTGTAAACAATGGGACCATTATTTAGATGACTGATAGTCTCTAACTTATTTCAGTGTAAGATTGAAATGTTTCATTATTTTTCTTTTTGCGCTCTAGCCCTCTTCATATTTAAGAACAGATCCCTTAATGCTCTCATGGGCGGTTTTATGCATTCAAAGCAATTATACTAATGTCTTCAAATTAATGTGATTAACTAGCTTTAAATGTTGCACATTTAATACATTGCTCCAGATTGGTGGAGGTGACATGAGCTCCATGGGTATTCACAAACCCAAAATCCCACCGATGTGGCAGCAAGAAGCCACAGAAGCATATTATTAACCTTTCTTTCTAGGGCACTTTGCAAGACATTGTTCCAAAGTGCTTTACAGTATGAATAAATGTGTAAGCAACTTTATTGGCTGCAAAGGCGCGAATGTTCCAATGAAAACTCGCTCCAGGCTGTGCTTAAGGAATGCACAACGGAGGCTGCATTTGTTTCTGCTCAAATCTCCAAGTTAAGTCTGTGCGAGGTCAGTTAGAAATGTCAGAATCTGCATGCACAATGTCCCAAACTTAACCAAACTCTTTCTCTTTTGCTCTTGTCCTCTTTTCAGGTTTCTCCAAACTGTGACCAGGTCTTGGTGAACGGCAAAGAAATGCGCGGTCGGCAATCTTTGGCAGTCAACTTCACCTACCTGCACCTTTCTGCTCAGCTGCAGCTCACCGTCTGGGTGCCCAAGCTACCTCTGCAGATAGACGTGTCGGATACTGAGCTGAGTCAGGTTAAAGGCTGGAGGGTACCGATCGTCACCAACAAGAGGTAAAATACCCGTGTGAAACATAGAGGGTGTGAGCAAGTTCTGCATTTTCATCTTGTATCATCTCCCACTACACGTGAAATTGGTGGAGACTTATAGCTGGCAATTTAGGTCAAGTTCTCCAAGTGCTGCAAAAACATGCTTAAGTTTGTTAAGTTATGTATCTGCAATAACATATTATTGATCATCCCAGCTAAATGCTCTAGTAGGCCAAGCGAGTGGAGGTTGTAACATGGTACAATAAGATAAATATACTAAGTGATTTTTAACTAATTAATAGTAAATGTAGATCATTTTTGTATCACATGCACGTTTCTTTAGCATAAGCAAAGCCTACTGATACAGAAACACTAGTGACTGGTCCACACAAGAGCAAACACACTGCAACTGAGAGAGACAATACTGAATAAATCGAGGCAATGTGTGACTGTGAATATGTGTGTGTTTTTTGTTTATGTGTGTGTGTGTGTGTGTTTCAATGTCTATGTGTGTGTTTGCACGCGCATGTGTGCGTGGGTGATATAGTGCTTATTGAATGGAGAAGTTGAGAGCACATATCGTTCCAGCCAGTCTATAATTTCCTATGAGGTCAAGGCCTGCCTGGCTATACTGATGAATGAAGCATTCAGTCAACACACACACACACACACACACACGCGCACATGCAAACACACTTTCTCAAAAGGGAGACAATGCAAGAGGGCCGATCAGTTACAGGATGTTGGTGTGTGAGCGTCAGCTTGTGTCCTTGTGTGTGTGTGTGTGTGCGTGTGCGTGTGTGTGTGTGTGTGTGTGTGTGTGTGTGTGTGTGGGAGAACATGCACATCCTTGTCAACTGTTTTGTTCAGCTTTTTGTGTGTTTGTGCAATGTGAAAGAAGGAAGGAGGGGGAAGGCATACAAATACTGTATATATATATATATATAGAAAGAATAAATGTAGGCCAGACTAAACTGAAGCTGTAGCATATAACTGTCGACCTCAGGGCATTTATCTTCCGTCTACCCTGCAGTAAGAAAAGAAAATCCCTGATAAATATTCTACAGTACAAGCAAATTGTTGTATCAGAAAACTAGAACTAATTCCTCACGAAACCATTTCTTGTTTCTTTCCCACAATTCTCAAAATGTAACGTTGACAGGGAATCTCTAAAATTGAACTATTCTTAATGAACTTTGGTGGAAATTCAAGCTACGAGTCAAAGAAAAAATAATTATTTTATGGATTGAGATACTGCAAATCCAGGAAAAAAATGTATTTGATGTCCAAACTTTACGCAGTGAGATTTCTCATAAGATACTGCACTTATTTGAATTGGAAAATATGTGGCACCTGTAACCTGTGATTGTCTCTCACTGTGTATTTAGATTTGTATTAATAAAATACAAAATGTTGAAGATTAAGGAGCCTTGGCAGGAGTATATTCTTTGCTTTCTTGAGCTTTTGCTTTTTGAGCCTATATATACTCTTTCTTTTCCTTTCTTTCATTCTGTTACTTCTACTTCTCTTCCTCACAGAGTCTGTGTCGTTCAATCAAATATTTCAACTGAATGACATCTAAATGTGTGTATTTCCTCTGAGGGAGGAGTTATGACGTTGCAGTACATACATCAAGCATGAGACGAAACTTCTATTGGCTACATTTGGGTTCAGCTGAGCACATGTACCTAAATGATTTATTTAATCTAAGCAACTCTAACTTCAGTATCGAGAAGGGATGTGTAAGCAAGAAGCCACATTTAAATACACAGCCTCCAACTTAGTTTCTTGAACTCAAATTCAGAGTCACTATGGGGAAACTTAGTTTTTAAAGCTTCGATTTTATAGCATACGCATAATAACTCTGTGTGTTTTTCTCTTGGTCGTGTGTGTGCGTGGTCATTTGTGTGTGTGTGTGTGTGTGTGTGTGTGTGTGTGTGTGTGTGTGTGTGAGAGAAATATCCTCCACTCGGGAGCTAGGTTTTCTGGTTTAAAGCATTCTCAGATTAAGTTTATTTCTTCTATTTGGCGCTAATTATTTTGCCTCCTCAGCGGTGGAATTACACCAAGTATATAAGTATATACAGTATATATAAGGTATTTTCATACCAATATATCAATATCAATATATGTATTAATATAATATAATATAATATATATATATAGCTCATCTCAAGCAATCTGATCTGGTTCACAGCCGTGATACAATAACACAAACCAGAGCTATGACGTCTAACTTCTTTGCACTTATGTTCCTTTGGATCTGAAAATAAAGCGACTAGGTCACGGGGTGATCACTTCCTCCAACATCGGACAGGTTATAGATGCAAAGTAGCAAAGTTAGCTGCTGAAACCTGCTACTAAATAGAAACATTCAAGGTTACCTTCTCTGGAACAACATCCACCTGCTAAATGACATGCAGAGCTACGTAAAGAGGAGGATGAAGAATGTTATCAGAATATGCAAGCAAGCAGGAATGCAGAAGAAATACACTCACTACTCTAACTATTGGCAACTGAAACTCGCTACGCCAAGCAACACACCTCATACACACAGTTCAAGCATCAAAGTCATCCTTGCTGGACAGTTTTCCAGTGGTTATATACAAGTTTACCCCCTATGTACTTGTAATGAATAGGGAAATTGGCTAAATAGACTCAATCGTTTCTTTTTTTACCAGTCAACGTATATATTTCAACATGAGGGTCTATGTGGATTGACTCGTTTTTGGTGCAAGCCTCAAGTGACCGTCGGTCTCCAGTTCTGTGTTTTTTAATTCATACATCCACCCCGACGTTTGTCGCTCTTTTTACAACTTAACCTTACTTCCTCCTTTATTCCCACATTACGGCCACGTAGAGCATCATAGTTTCAGTCATAGGCCACTGACCAAGCTGTCATATTTGAGCCCTTGGGAGTGAGAACAGGCTGCCCCCAACAAGGACTCGAGAAAAATGCATTTGTAGAGAGCAGCTTTACAGAGGCATAAAACAATATTGAAATAATACAAAAAAATACATTCTGAAAGATAGAAACACAACATTGACGCAACATTTGAGTCTAAGTAAAGGCTTGAACAAAACTAGAATTTTGTTTTTTTTACCCTTTTCAACTGAAACAAGATTGATAGTATTCAGTGAAACATGGACTTTACAGCACTTATATTACCAGGACACAATGACATATAGAGTGGTGTGTCATCTGCATAGCGATTTTTTTTATTGTTGATAGAGCCAATCAGACACATAAAGATCAAACATAAGCGGCCCGATAATTGATCCCTGTGGGACTTCACACAGCAAGTCAAAAGCATTAAATGGAACAGCAAGGATTTCTGCTCTTTTAAACCAACATCAAGTATGATATGTTGTATTTATTTTGTATACTTGTTCAGGTGAACTGGGACTGCATTCACAAGGGAGAGAGAAGTAACAATAGTTTAGCTATAGGATAATGTTTAAGAAAAACTCACCCAGGGACAGTATTACCAAAGAATAAAGTGCAAGGCTAGTTAAATCTGAAATAATGTGTTCACCCAGGCATTCCAATAAATGCCCATTGTACAACTAACGTACTTTAAAAGTGTTAGAGCTGGATTAAAAACTGAAGTGTATTTTCTTTGACAGAGAGTGTAACCTGGAGCAGAGATTATACAGTAGATTACCTGGAGCTGAGCGTAGAGTATTAAAATGGCATTTAATTAACAGATAATCTCACCCTCTCGTTCTCTCTCTGTCTCATTTATCTCTTTTCCTCCCAGACCTACCAGGGACAGTGAAGATGATGAGGACGATGAGAGGAAGGGCAAAGGCTGCACCCTACAGGTATTATTTGATTGGTTTCCATAACACACTTTAATCCTTTTCTTCAATGTCAATATCTCTGAGAGACCGAAAGAACTTTCCCTCCACTGATTAAGATGGAAATGTGATTTACTGTGTAACGCTTTGCTTGGTTTATTTTGTCTTTTGTTTCTAACGCAGTGAAATACGAGCCTGTTGTGTAGTGAAGCATCAGAGTCTAACCTTTCTCTTAACCTCTCAGTACCAGTACGCCTTGGTGCGGGTCCTCACCCATTTTGTCGCAGAACCCTCTGACCCCAGAGGTGAGATGGTCTACATGTTGGGTGCAGACTGGCAGGCTGATATCACTCATTTGGTCTTGGACCAGCTAAAAGTAGGCATACACAAATAATCACATATATATATATATACACAAACACATGAAACCTAATTATCTTTGAAGGAATAGTTCAGCATTTTTGGAAATAAACTACCTCGCTATCAGAGTCAGATGAGGAGATCGATACCACTTTCATGTCTGTAAACATTTAGACAGAAAGTGATTATCTTAGCTTAGCATAAAGTCTTTTTAACTCTTTACTTTTTGCACTGAAATAATAGTTAAAAGAAGTCATTTCTATGCAGTAGGTCAACTAATCCAGGATAAATCCACAAATATTAATTTCATCACAAACTAATTGATTGATGAGTTGTAGTACTGGCTGACAGCTGTTTCTGTGCTCCACAGGTAGAAGATCCTCGCATCGCTAGATTGATAGACGGACGAATCTTGATAGGGCGGGACCTGGGTATTACTACAATACAGGTATGTACCCTCTGTTCTACTCTCAACACTTTACAAGTGATCCACTCTGTTTTCTTTTCGTTATTTATAGCTTTGTAACTATTATTGTCCTAAAACAACCCATTCTCAGAACTGAAGCAGTATACAAAGTACAAACCTTCTTATACCAACCTGAGAATGAAATATGAAATAGCCCTTAACTTAAATTCTAATGCGGTTTCAAAGTTTGTCACTTTGATTCAACTTTGAATGTAAACTTTAGAACTAGAAACTCTGTTGTGCCATTTACTAACGATAAAGCATCCGAGGATTGGTGTTGGAATTGCCTTTTAAGGATTCAGAAAACACTCCATGTTGACCGTGTATTCATTTCTTGTTGGACAACAAGTCTAGAGAAAGACGGTTGAATATTTCAATATGTGAAGCAATATGTGTAATTTGCCAACTCACATTGCAGCCATAAGCCCTCCAGTGATGTAAACATTATCCCCTCTTTCTTCCTCTCCTCTTCCTCTCCTCGCACTGTGAGCCTCGCCTGCTTGCCCGTTACACAATCAGCTACAATTAACTGTCGGATTTGGCACTGACATCTCAGTGCCATCTTCAGCAATACACACAGACACACACTTACACTGGCACACCGTGAACACACTCGTGCGCTTGCTGAATTCCAATAAGCCGGCCCACTGCGACTGAATGTGACAGTGGAGGACAGTCCCATGGCTTACTGGTATACTGGTCTATAGCAGAGCTGAGGCAAAACCATATATCTCACAGTCATAGTCAACACGGCTGTTGTTATATTCCATGATGTTACATCTCCATCTTTTTTTATGTTACAATATAGCTATGTTGAAGTTATCAAATTTCTTTCTAAGTGCTTACTTTTGCGGGATTGCTCTGATGAGTGGCTTGTGCGTCTGTATCTTGGGGATTTAGATTTTTGGGGAACAGCTGAGTGTGTCTTTGCATCCGTTCGACTGGGGACTGCTGCATGCATGCACGCACACACACACACACACACACACGCACACACACACAGATGCAAGCATACAGACAGCTGTGCTCTTTTTGGGAGCCAGGAGAGAGAATTTACCCAGCATTCCCATTTAGATGCCAGAGTCGACAGCCGTCATTTGATAGTTTGACATTTCAATTTTACCCCCCAGCTCTCTCCCCCCCCCCTCCCCGAGTCTCGCCTCTTCTTCCCTCCCCCTTCTCTCTCGCTCTCCATTCTCCCGCCCAGTCTCCCTTTCTTGCCCTCTTATTCTCTGCCTGTCTTGAAGAGCAATCCCAGAGCTGTCAATCATGGCATTTTGTTAGCTCGCTGAGGGTGGGATTGAGTTTGACGCCCCGACACGTTCACTGAGAGATTTTCTTTGTAAACCAATCAGATCTGCCTGTCCTCCTGTCGCCAGGCGGAGTAGCACACTACAGCTCGGGGCTCCTAATCTCTATCACAGTCTGTCTTCTGCTCCCTCTCTCCATCTGAACCTCAATCTCTTTTGCGCTCCTTCTTTCTGCCCACTCTCACTTTCTGTCCTCCTCTATTTGTCATTGTCGCTCGCTCGCTGACACCTACTCCATTTATTTCTCCCTGGCTCGTTCGCCATCTCTAACTTACGCTCTCTCCTCTCTGTTCATTCACTCTTTTTTTAGGTCTTTAGTTTTGGCATTGTACTTTGTCTATACTAAGTTGTCTTAGTTGAATGCTGACACACAGGGGCACAGAGAAGCAGACGGGAACACTGTGTTTGTGTGTGAGTGTGTGAGTATGTGTGTGCGTGAGTGTGATTCCACTACTTACCATCTGTTACATTGTGTCAGAAAGAATCGTCAGCTTTCAGAAGTCTGTGTGTTTTTTGTGTGTGTGTTTTTTCGAACTTAAACACATACTGCCAGTCTGTGTGGCCCAGAGCACTGACGGTGTTTAACCAGCTCTCGCCACTCCTCTGCCAATGTTAAACACTTCACTGTCACCTTAAGGCAATAATCACTGAGACGACAACAAAAGCTGTTTTATTGCTGCTCTTTCCAGAACTGTCTTTCAGACTTTTCCTTATATGTACTTCCCAATGTCCTATACTTGATGCAGCATGATCAACAGGACCTTGTTGTTCCCATTGTTATCATTTTGAGACATTTTGAGACACACGCCATCATTCCATCACCTATCAAACAACCAGGTAGTCAGTAGTGTGGTTTACTTGGATTTTGCAGCTGGTTTAACACTTGTGTTGATTCTGTCCTGCACAGACATGGCAGACATTAGAGCAGGAAATGGCAGGGAATGCAAATTCTGAATGAAAGCTTTCAGAAACTCAGGAGCATTTAGATAAACCTGCTTTAGTGCATATGTAGACTCCTCTGCAACTCTTATAATGCAGACTCATTTCGGAAACTTGAAGTCTGTTAATGCGATCTTTGGTTGCAGGTTCTGTCCCCACTGTCAGACTCCATCCTGGCAGAGAAAACTGTGACAGTGTTGGATGACAAGGTAAAGTAACATATTGAATTATTTAATGTATTTGGAACGTAGGTCCCTTTTACTGGCAGGCATTATGATATTCTCTTGTTTGTCCAGGTCACCATCACTGACCTGGGAGTGCAGCTGGTTGCATCGCTGTCCCTCAGTATGACAGCGAGTCCTGGAAACTACCAAGCTATACAGCTAACAACTACAGCCACAGACCTGCTACATGCACCCAAACAGGTAAGAGGTACTATGGGTACGCAAACCCATTCACACAGAGATCACAATGGGTGTTTCTCAAAGTCCAGGAAGGCTCAACTTCAATAGCTGAATTTCAAGGATGCCACGTCATTAAATCCCACTGAAGGACTTACATGTTTTAAATGTGTGTATATTGTTTGAGTAATGCATACTTAATATTCCTACTAGAGATTGTACTGAATCATTTCAAATTATAAAATGAAATTAAAAAAACAAACACGGACACCGGCACATTCACAAAACTGTTCCGTGTGCTCTCTGAATGTCAGGACGGAGTCTTGCCTATCCTCTATAGGACCCGACTATCAAGGAAGCATCCTTGATTTTAAGAAACACCCCAGTATCTCCATCTCTGATCGAAATCACATCTGCCAGGGTTGTAAAATCAGATTTTCAGAATGTAACTTCCGCATGCAGACCCATGAGTAGCATACATATACACCTCGCTGCCTTTAGGTTTATATCACACACATACACAGACACACACACACACTGATGGACTATATCTTAAGCTGTTCCCATCTCTACAGCAATACCCCCAAGGTTGTAATCATAGCGGTTAAACAGTAATTCTCACATCGCTGCTATCGCTCCTATAATCAGTTTATAATTAGGAGTGTGGAACTTCCAGGCTTTAGCACAGTTTAGCTACAGCAAAAAAAAAATGGTACTCTTTATTGATAGAATCATATAAAGGCAGTTAGTTTTCTGACAATACTACGTTTTTTTTTATATTTCAAAGTTGTTGTTTTTATTCTTTTTTCTTCACTTTTGCTCGCTTATTCCCAGCGAGCAAAACCCACAATATCTATAAAAAGAAAACTATGTTTCAAGCTATTCTTGACTCTACTCACATTGCCAAAGGTTATTTTATTCCTCTATCTCAAGCTATTATCCCTTACACACTCTTCCCTCCTCCCCACCTTCCCTTCTATTAAAAATTACCCCACATTATACTTTCTGTCCAAGGGCTAATTGGATGAGAAGCCGCTCATTACGATGAAAATACAGATCTGATATTGCCCTTTATTCTAACATTAATTTATTTTTCCTTCTGGCTGTTTTTATCTACATCATTCACTATTACCTGTGGAAGGATGATGCGACTATGGAGATGGAAAGTGAGGAGAAAATAGGGTGGAAAGAAGTAGAAAACAAACAAACTGAAGATTAGATGGAAAGGGGTGAGGGGGGGGGGGGGGAAGGGAATGGAGGAGGCAAGGAAAAATTACAATTCATAATGAAAATAGAGGAAGGGAAAGAGATAAAGTGTTGTTCCTCACGTTGGCTTAATTACTTTTGTAAGGAGTTTTTTTGTGTTATTCCTATACAATCTTTTCTGTGTTCTGATTAAAGAAAGCGAAGGGATTTATCAAGGGAAATTAGTGAGGCAGGATCACCAGACAAGCAGAAAAAATACTTTCTCTGAGAACTCTGTTTTTATTTATGGAATAGCTGCTGCTGGAAGAAGGATGTTGACAAAAAACATTTATTCTCATCTTCCAAGTATTTGTCCTCCTTGTAATTGAAGAGATGGAGAACAGAGAAAGATACAAGTAGGTTGGAACAAACAGTGTGTAAAAACAAGTGGTTAGGTTTCAATTATCAATGTCTACATTGTCAAGTGTGTGTGTGTTTGTTTGGGTGGATGGATGGGAGTGGAGGTATCTCTCTTTGTGTCTTTCTCCAAGAGTTACAACCTGCTATTCATTTCCATTGTGTTGAAGACGCAAACAGCTAAATCATGCAGCAACACAAGTCACACTGTGAAGCTACCAAGGCAAACACCAATGAATATAATCTTTAAGAGCTATGATGTGTAAGATCTGGCTGAATTTGAGTTACAGCTTCACTAACTGAAGATGCATCTCCCAGGGCTGCCGCACATGTTCCTCCTTGCGAAGCAATGTTATTTTGACCGGCGAACAGAGTTTCAGCAATTTGGTGAAATCTGGCATATTCTTCCTATGTGTATGGTGTCCAGATCTTACACGCTGCACCTTTTAAGCACACATTAATGTTTGGTAAAAATATTTGTATTATGACATGTTGTATAAGCTCTGATATTGTTGGTTAGCATAAGTTCCACAATGCAGTTTTTAGTGTGCATAGCCAAAAAAGGCTAGGACAATGTGTTAAAAGAAAGTTACATAAATATCTGTATAGGTTTGAATCAATATACCTCTCATCTGCCATTCACAGATTTGAATATGACATTTCATAGCTTATAATAGCCCCATGAAGGAAGATTGACACTTCTGTGCTTATTTTCAGAACACTGTTGATGCACTTTTCTTTATTACATTTATGTTATGACACTTTTTTCTCATTCTCTTTCAGGAGGCAGCAATCAGTGCATGGATCCAGTACAGTGACGGTTCAGTGACACCACTTGATGTCTATGATTCCAAGGACTTCCTCCTCTCGGTTGTGTCTTTGGATGAGAGCGTCATCTCCATAACAAATCAGGTACTTGTCATATGAAGTTGAGAAGTAAAATGTTTTAAAGCTGTGTAAAATATGCCAGAAACAAAAACCATGGAGGTTTTAGTGACACATATTTCATGAAACATTTTTTACAGAAGTGACGGACAAAATGATGTCCAAAGTGCTGTGTTTGTTTACCTTCACATTGTCTCTATTTTTTTATTAGGAGCAACACTGGCCGATCGTCGTGGCAGAGGGCGACGGACAGGGAGCGCTGGTTCGTGTAGAGATGATCATCTCTGAGACCTGCCAGAAATCCAAAAGGAAGAGTGTGCTGGCATCTGGAGTTGGCAATGTGATAGTGAAGTTTGGAGCAAAGAGTGAAGACAGAGGTGCGATGGGTAGAGGTGGACAGGACGATGGAGGAGGGATGGACAACAGCACCAGCGAGCACCAAACAAAGGACGGACGAGAGTGGAAGTCCAACAGTGCAGCAGTGGACCGAGAGGAAGGAGCCATGAGGAAGGTGGGGAGAGCAATGGATGGATAGAGATTCTTTCCAATGTCATTTTTAGTGAAATTTACTCAAATTTTATCAGTATCAGTTCGAATGGATATATTCAGCTTTTTACTCCACAATATTTGATTATAAAGTACAGTATCTCTTTTAAATGCACATTATAAATACACACATCCAATCCTACATTTTTGAATTCATGAAAATCTACAAAACAACAATGTGAAAGGTTGTTAACTATCCCTAATCCAGCAAATAAAGAAACTATGAATTTGTGTTTTTTTTTGGAGTTATATCTATGTGGTATTTTCCCTTAATCAGGTTAGCACAACGACGAAGAGCACAGTAACCCATCGTGCTTCAGGAGGTAAAGCTGCCAGTGGAGGCAGCAGCAGCAGCCGAGGCGGAGGCCCCAGCCAAGCAGGGGACTACAGTAGCTACCCAGCACAAGTTGAGGTACCAGGCACTGGGGATAGTGAGCTGACCCAGACCACCAGAGGACTGTCGGACCTGGAGATTGGAATGTATGCCCTTTTGGGTGTGTTCTGTCTGGCAATACTGGTCTTCCTCATCAACTGTGTCAGCTTTGCCTTCAGGTAAAACATTGTGATAATTGAGAACTGCTTTTATGAATCATGAGAATACCAGCAATACAAGTGTGAGGTGTGGGTGGGGTAATAAAAATATTGTTTTTGAACGCCAACAAATATGGATTGAAGAACAATATTTTCGCGAGATAAAAACATGTTTACATCTATCTTTTTTCTGTAACTTTTAATATTTGGACACAAAAATGTTCTGGAGTTATTGAAAATGTTTGGATCACACAAGTTGTAGATTATCCTTTGCAGCCACCACTGGAATCTAATTCTACAAATAATATAATACTAATAATATTAGTTTAGGATAATATGCAAAGAAAAAACAAACAGCGGTGCAGCATTCAAATGTTGATTTAGAATTAGAATCTCAAGTTTCCAGCTGTTAGGTACAGCCCTAGAATTGTCTCTGTTTACTTTCTGTCGCTGTCCATTAAAGGGAGGTGCTGAATTAATGTTGTAAAGGAGCCAACATTTTCAAAATACATTATACCACAATAAACATTCAATATGAGGAATCGATAAGCCTAAATCATGATCACCACTTTGTGCTGGTTGTAAGATAATCCCCAATGTGTTAAGTTTTTGTTCATCGCTTGAGCTTTCCTTGTCTTTTGCTCAGTACCTTTCTACTGTCTATATAAAGGGATGCCTGATGTAAATATTAAACAATTCAGCACTGCCTGAAATTGCACTTCTTCACAACAGCACTTCAGACATATTAGCTAATTATCATTCTTCATCTGCAGATACCGTCACAAGCAGGTCCCTGTGCTGGAAGCAGGAGGCAACATGAACCACGCCCATGACTGGGTGTGGCTTGGGAACGAGGCTGACCTTCTAGCTGACCACTCTGACCAATGCCAGGGCGGGCTGCCCGATGAGTGCACCACCATCATTGACCGGAACGACGGAGGATACGAGGAGAACAAGTACCTGCTGAACGGGGCTGGTAACACCTTAGTGATGGGTGTGGGCACAGGCATGGGCACCATTCGTGGGAGTGGTGGCACAGGTGGACACCGGGGCATCACCCACGGACAAACCTTGCCCAGATCAGTTCCAGAACCGCATCAGTGCCTGTCAGCAATCACAACTGGTGGCAAAAACGCCACTGGCCAAGCAGAGCATCTTAATAATTCCCCCCGAGCCACGGCTGCAGCTGCAGTTGCAGCCGGCAAACGCGTCCAGTTCACGTCTTTTGCCACCGTCCTGCCCAATGATAATTTGGGTGGGGGTGGCCCATACGCCAACTCCTCAGTCCTGGTGACCAATGGGAGTGAGGATGACATCAAGTGGGTGTGCCAGGACATGGACCTGGGTCAGTCTGAAATCAGAACCTACATGGAGAGGCTACAAGACAATCTGTGACTGACGGGAAAGAGACTGAGAAATGGAGGGGCAGAGGAGGAGTACAGGACAGGGAGGATGGACAATGAGTACAATTCACCTGTAATGCCTTTGCAATGGATGAAGGGAGGGAGAAAGGGAGGGATATGAGAACAGGCTATGGAAAGCATATACTGGCATCCCTCACTCACACTGAAAACACTGGTAGCAAACAATAAATACCATAATAAGTTTGTTTTTTATTATTAATTGTGAACATATTAGTGTAAAAATCAATAATAGAGTCACTATTGGTTATGAATGTTTATTTTCAGAATACCAGTAAACCATTGCGCTATTCAGAAAATTCAGGGTACGCTATTGGACAAACCTATCAAGCCACTATATATTTAAACGAGGATGGCAAGAACATCATTTCTGAGGTGTTTTTTACCCATATGGTGTTTCGCCACTATTGGCTGTGGCTGTTGATTTAATTATTGATAAATCTAGTTTTAATATTTACCAGCCAAGTCATGGTTATGTAGTGATTATGATCACTGAAGATAGTGAGTTTCAAAGATGCAATCTATTTGTTTTTGTTCTATCATGTCACCCATTTGCTTTTGGCATTGCTCATATGTGAAATGTAAAATATATATATATATATATATTCCAAGTACTCTACAATAAATTCGGGCACCAGCGGGAGCTGCCATTCAGCACTGAAAAGGGGCGATCTCGCTCTTTCCTCAAACAACAGAATGTGTCAAGAGTTGGAAGATGATATGACGAACAAAAGACTGTTTCTCCCTTGGATCCAAAACAGAGGCATTTAAACTTGCACAATTACAAACAGGAAAGGACACTAGCCATATTTGAGGCTCACTTCCTGTTTTGTGAAACCTTCTAGCCAATGACGGCTTTCTCCCTGTATTCAGAACCAATCGCATCATCCCCTGGCCCCTCTCCTTGTCTGTGATTGGACACCAGTGAACTGAAGTACACAGTAACATACTGTGGAATACTGTCTGTAATCTAAAAGGGGACTGACTGAGGTGTCTCATGTAAAAAGGAGGCTGCTTGGGCTTTGCAAAGCCTGAACGAACACTTAATAATGAGGATTATTTAAAACACACACCATGTAGGCAACAAGACAGACCAGAGTTACCTGCAGTGTTACATGGAGCTGACAGGATATATTGAATGGAATTACAATACAAATGAAAATGGAGAGAAACTCTTGAATATCTCACGAATAGATATGGGGTCATGAAACATGTTTGAGTTGGTGAACATAACTATGTATATGTTTTCCCTTGTTTGTCCGTTTGGATTAATAGAAAGTTTTTATTATGTTTTTCCTTAGATTTATTAAGATTTTAAGGAAATGTGATTATTTTTTATTTTAGAGATCTATTTATTTAAATTAACATTTGAGAGGGTGAGGGTGGAAAGGAAGAAAGATTAAAAAAAAAACAGAAGATCTGCTGGTGAATGATAGCACATAAAAGAACAAGCGAAAGGAAGGAGACAGAACAGGCAGAGGTTGCCTCACCTTCGTTAAGCTCAGGTGACGAGTCATGAAGAACTGACAATGAAAAAGGAGAACTGTAAGATTGTTAAGATTGCAATATTTATTTATAAATGTGTTACTGTTTCAGAGTACACTGTATGTTGTAGATAAATAAACATGCTTCAAAGTGCTTGTGAATAAGATTGCAGGTCACTAGCCAACATGATATTTTGTACATTTTACAGTGAAAGTATGGTACACAATACTATCTACCACCACAATGTGAAAGTGATCTTATTGGTTCTTTTTCTAAAGATGTTCCTGTCTTTGTTTAAAGTATTAAATTAGTTATTGTCTTTGTACAGGGTATAATCGGTTTACCTCTATAATGAGATGTAAAAATAGAGGAAGACCCATCGTGAATCATAATCAAAATTGCTTGAAGAGGGTGAGTCCAAAAGATTAATTTCAGAAGGAAAACCAAACCAAATGTTCTGATGTTCGGCTAGTCCGAAAGAAAACATCTGGATTACTACTCACACAAGCATCTCTACTTTCAATCATTTGTTTAAAGGTGCAATGTGTACCTGGCCACTTGCTCCGAAGAAATAGGGGGCAGCATTTCACGTTTTTTTTAAAGCCCATATTAGCTCAATTTAACCAAATTGCAAGGTCAAAATGACACTGCTATCTTGTGATTTCCACATGTGGCTGTACGGTCCGTGTGCGTTTTCATAGTTTGTTTATTGGCTTAAATCCAAAGTGGCGGAAATAAAACTATGATCTGCACTTTCATCTCGTCGGCCAGGAGACCACCCTAACCCGGAAGAGAGCAGTCGGCACTCGGCAGCTCAACGAGACGGAAGAATTCAGCCAGCACAAGACCCAGACCCCAGTGCCCGGAGTCATAGTGGGTTGGTTGAGGGCTGAGTCCAACCGGTGTTACAGCAGCAGCAGAAAGTTGCAGAAAGACCCACAATCGCATCTTGAGGAACAAGTGGTTTTACCAGAAAGAAGGAGCCGGACCTTGCTGGTTGGTAATAGATACCTCCACAGCACAAATCATTGATGAATTTGGCATAATGTCGAAACTGAGACTTCTTCCTAATCTTTTGATAATGTTTTAAACTAAAGTTCTGGCCAGATCTTACACGTTGCACCTTAAAACACCATACATAATAAAAAATACACATGAACTCACATGAAACAGAATGAATACAGGATTCAAAGGACAGAGAGCTTGACACAGATAAGAGACCTGAGCTCACAGGCTGCACAGCCTCCACCAAAGCAATAGATACTTTGACTGATGATGGCAACTACACTGTATATTCCGGACTCATACACATTACTGTATCTCGCCTACTCTAACGTAGCTACAAGACTGCTGTGACTGAAAGGATCACTCAAACAGGTACACGTTCGATGGTCGTTGAAGGGAGAAGTGTAGCAATGCTTTCTATGAAAAACATTTTGACTCTTAACTAGAGCTGTGAGTTTGATCAGCCTGTGACACCTACCTGTTGTATCATTTTGAAACTTTATGGATGTCAACTGAAAAAAAAAACAAGGGTATTTCTGATTATTTGTGGGGCATTTCAGCTTTTATTTGATACCAGAGAAAGACAATTGTTCTGTATGTAGCCAATGTGGAAGGACCGCAATTAACTGCATGCTTACTAAACTACTGCTGAACCTGAGCACAGTTTCCCAGAAGAATTGTTTTAACAGCACAAATGTTTGGCTTCTCTGTCTAAGTTACACAGAATGGCAATAGTTGGTTGCAAATAGAGTCTAATTTTGTGTTTACTCGTGCTAATTCGGTTTAACCACTGACATTCAACAGAGAATTCTTTACACAGGCAACTGTAAGTGCAGAAACAAAAGCACTGTTGGTTTTTAATTTATTTTTTATTTTCCCCTGGTTCCTCAGGCTGTTTTGCTGGTATACAGGGAAATGGATCTGTCTGCCTCAGAAATATGTTCATATTTAACCAATTTGTGAAAGCAATTTTTAACGAATGCGGGGGTAGCATTGTGAGGTTCATACGTTGCAAGTAAAAGAAAGTAAGGGTGTGGCAGTGAGGGAGGTGATTGGGCCGACAATGTATTCAGTTCATAACACAACGTCTTCAATGTTCAACAGATTGCATTTCATCCAAAGCTTATTTTTGCAAAGATAAAACAGTTTGATATGAACATAAATCTGACGATAAAGGTTTCAAGATTCTTTTGAACTGAGGATTCACTTATTAAATATGTTGTCACTCAGCCTTGTTGTACAATGCTTGTAAGGCTTTGTGTCTACTTAGGATCTGCATATATAGTGCTGCCAAATTGTCCTGATCAAAAAAAACGAGGCCTTGTTTTCAGAGGATGATTTTACAAAATTAGCCACTGTAGATGTCTCCTCCTGAACCCGATCTTGCTATAAAACTTGAGTGAAGTGAGTATACTACCTTCCAACCACATTAGTTCTGCATGGTAACAGGCCTCTTTTAACTTGTTTTCAGACCAATTCAAGTAACTTGTATTGCATTTTTCTAAACAATTCCTCTCGGATGAAGCCTATGCATAGTAGTAGTTCAGCCACCAGCAGTATAAAATTGGACCTCTACAGTGGCAGAAACAAATCAAACCACTAAAATACAAATACACATTCTCAAAAGAGCTGAGTTAGTTTGTTGTGCAGTTACAGTGGGAGGTCCACAGGAGTAGCAGTTGAATGTGCTACAGGTAAAAGAGGTGCCAGTGGACACGAGCCCGAAAGATTGTTTGTTTAGTTTTTTTCCTTTTGCTATTGTCATTGTTTAAACATGGCTCATGGAGGCCAATAAAGACCCATAACCAAAAACAGCCTGCTCCTTTGTCTTATAATGCTCTGTTTAATCCACTGGAGTCACGATAGCAGTTAGCCATTGTTGCTATGATAATCTTGTTATTTGGACTCATGTTTCAGCATTTCAACCTTTCGCCTCGATGGAAGTACAGAATATAATCAGAAGGTACTGTAGCTGTGACTTTAGACATTGAGTTTCCTAAAATGGCATTATCTGCACATCATCACAGGTTTGTTTAGAAGAGCTGTCATTTTCCAAAATACGTGTGTTTCTAAATCAGACTTTTGTGTTGAAACGTCTATCTAAACCAAGGCTGTACAGAGATTTGTTGACTTGTTTCTGTAGGATTATGTAAAACGTAAAAAAACACAATAACTCTTAAAAACTTTTGAAAGCTTTGCAATAAGGGGACTTTTTTCAAACATGTACCTGGTACCTTCATATGGGAATGATTTAAAGCTATTTCAGTAATGTGAAGTATATCTTATAGTTTAGAAAACACTGGACAAAGTCCGTAGCTTGTGATGACTCATCTCTACACTGACAAAAGATAAGACCGTTTCCAGTGTTATTTTTGTAAAAACATTTAAAATCAACTGGCTGCTCATTTAACCAGGAATAAGCAACTGTAACATGGAGGGCTACAAGACAACAGTAACTGATTTCACAGATTAGCACGGTTTCAATCAAAGACAAGGAACTAATTAAATTCCCTGGTGGCATCTTTTGTCCTTGTTTGAGATGAGCCAGGCCTGACCAGAACCAATCAGCGCTGTCTGGCTTAGAACAATGCCTGCTGCTGATGAATTGTGTCCAACTTAAACTGGTGACAAGGCAATCAAAGCATCAAGGCAACCAGGCAAAGCAATTACTCTTCACCTGCATCAGGCACACGCATGATGGGAAATGATTTGCTCATAACTGAGTTTATTGCTATTTGGCTAAAAATTTCACCAACAGGTAAAATATTCAGTCTTTTCTTTTTTGAATGGCTCACAAAACAGACATGAGTTGGATGATCACATTTTTACAAATTAAGTGATTACCTCTGAGGGCTTCTGATCCTTTGAGATCCATTGCTAATTTTCTCGGCGCTCTAATCGGCAGGTTTCTGTGAGCAGCCGCTTGGAGGCCCAGTGGGAGTCGTCATGATGAAGAGGCATTTACAAGAAAAGTTGATTAAGATAATCCTCTGTAGCTACAGCATCACCCTGAATAAGTATGACATTAAATATCCACGATAAAGTTTACATTTGATCTTAAGCGCCTCCATCACCCTGAGGCGCACTGAACACCATCCCAGTGGTGGGAAGGTCAATACCTCTTGAACCACTGTCATCAATAGAACTAGTGTCTACAAATACAGGATAAGCCATGTCTAAATGTTAAGACAGCACACCCATATGAAACCCAAAGTTACATGAAAGGCTTGTGCTGTTGGTGAGGAAATATAGGACAAGTGGATTTCGACACAGAAACACAATCTAAGCAGATGTACAAACACAGTACATTTGGTGATGTTGGATCTCTGAGTCACCCTGTGTGATTCTTGGTCATATAAAATGGTTTAAAAATGACTATAATCCCAGACTGCATGGGAAGGATGACCAAAATACAGACAATCTAGCCTTAAAAATGTGCATGTAATGTACACCATGTACATTTTATACATTTCTGCATCAACTCTGTTCATTTAAAGTGTCAATAATTGATGAAAGAGTTCTGCACACTTAACAAATTAGAAAAATTGAGACATCGCACCACGGTGGTTATGACGAAGAAATTCTGCGGACCTTTTTTGGTGAAAAGATGAATGTACTTTATCAGTTTTCTCAAATGAGTGAAACAGCGCCCCCCTGGTAACAGTAGGTATCCGCCATTCAGTGTGTGTGGTCAAAGATGGAACAGCACCCACACAGTCGAGGCAATCCAGGCAAATCTGCTGAGGGAGGGGAAGCCAGGTGACGTTAATTAGTGTCTAAATTGTATCAATTAACGGTTACAGTCACTGGGAAAGTGCAACAAGTCTATGGAAAACAAACAAAATGACAACTCTGAAGACTTTACTCTCGCCTCACTGCAAGTGACAGAAAGTCGACAACATTTCACGTTAATTTAGCTAAACTTGTAAAAACACGTGAGCTTGTTTTGACGCTGATAATATTTGCTAACGCTAAGACTAGTTAGTTTAGCAGTGATGGGGAGATGAGAAGAGGAGTTCTCTGAAGAAACTAACTTACTAAACGACGGTTACAACAAGTGCAGTGGGATTTAATTGGACATGGAGGTGGACCACTTCATCTCCATTGACAGAGAGGAGGATGGACTTCGAAACGTGAGTCAGACAACAGTACACCACGTGTGTCTTTCTGTCTCTCTTCCTTGGGTGTCTGTGCGTATAGCTAACCCTCCGCTGTGTGGCGGACTTACAGCAGCCCTACTGTATGGAAGCTGTCGCTGTATCATTCTGGACCTTGTTTTCACTGATGCATGTTGTGCTGCTTGCTGCTGCAGGAGGAAGGCTTTGAATAATGCGACAATTCCCCGGTGCTGCACTTATTAGTAGTTCAGCCATCTGTTGATTTGGGAATGAGCATGCAGAAGATCTGCTTGTTGCTTGAGAAATTGTTGTTGTTTTTATAAGACATGCATTAGTCTTGTTTATATTCTGTGTTGATTAGTATCAGAATATATGCTTTATAGTGTTTGTTTATAGGTGCATAAGAAAGTCGTGCATGTATCTATGATCTGTGCATTGTGGATTTGAACATGCATATGTTCTCTAAATCTCATCCCAAAGTTGATTTGAATGAAAATGCTACAGTACGTATTTGCATTAGTTAACTGTTGGTAAAATGGCACATTTTTGTAATTTAAACCTTATGGCTTTTGAATCACCACTTATGGGCACTTTGCTTCAGGGTTGATTCATCTAACCCCAGGTCGGAGGGGCTTATCATCTTAAGGCTTTTTATTTTGTGTAATGCTAGATATTTTCACATTTCGTCTGTTTAATCAAAATCACTTTAATATTCGCACTAAGGCCATAATCACCATGATTTAACTGGCACTGACTGCTCCTGTGGTTTGAAGGGGCTGGAATCACCACTTGGAAATTGACCTGCAAGAGGAGAGCTGGATATGTATTTAGAAACGACAACAAAAAGAGTGAGGATCACTCTATGAGATGCGAGCCTGACCTGCTGATCCCAATTTTTCTTTCCAATGACTATAACCGACACTAAGGCTCCAGACTAACCTTTTAAATCAGCCACCCAAAAAATATTCAGTAAAAACTCCCAAAAATTCAAAATGTTATGCTTACTGTGTTGTCATCTTTAGTGGTTATTTGCATACAAACACACAATTCAAATGAATAGGATTCACATCATTTTGAATGTTTGATTTGATTAAAAAAAACTCTTTGCATCAGTAATTTTAATTATGTATCATAAGCTGCTTAGAGCTAGAGTTGGGAAGTTAAACAGGTCCATAATTCCCTCTCTAATATCAGTTTTATATTGAATATATAATACACTCAATGCCAGGGAGAGGCTGCTGTCTGTCTGCAGACAGTGGGTCACTGTGATTACTCTGAGCAGTAAGAATGGGAGTAAATGACAAGTCAATAATATTGATTAAGTTAGTTGTTCCTCCGTGGCTTATTTTGGACTTGTATTTGTGACAAATTGCCAGCTTTATGTCTTCTTCACTCACGCTGAAGAACTTCCACACTCATGACATGCTGTGTGTGTGTGTTTCTGTGGCGCTGTGTGCCGATGTAAAACTACCATGCACAGGTACTCCTGTGTGACGGGAAATAGGAAACTGACAGGCTGTTTACTGGCTAAACGTCTGAAAACCGTCCGGTTTCAAGCGTTAGCCGATTGATCACCTCGACTGAATTTTGAATTCATGTCTGTATATCAGTGGTATCAACAGCCTTCCCTTTTCTCGAGTGCTCGGTGGGGGCAGACAATAAATCCAACAGCGGCTTCAAATAGGACTCGGCTGGACAGGACATAATAATAAGCGACTCCAGATGATATTAACTCCCACACAGGCGTGCAGCAGCACACCTGCTTGCTATATAGTGAAAAATGCACTCTATCTTTATGTAGACACACATTTTCCCAGGTTATATAAATTATTTCAAAGGGGACCTTTTCTCAAGCACATGTTTAGTGACAAAGTGTGTAGGTTTGTGTTCCGTTCTGTCAGCAACTGCTTAGGATGAACTGGATCACTGTGATCACGCCAGTTGTTTCTGATGTGGTCCTCCAGCATCCAGCCAGGTCCTTGCAGCTTGGTCTGATTTTATCTGAAAATGAAGGTAACAAGAATTAGTCAAATGAATGAAAATAAAAGGTGCATTGGACCACACTGTTTGTACTTCTTTTGGTTAAGCAAATGAGTCAGTTTATCATGTACAGTTGAGTCCATAAAATTGAATACAGCTCGGCACAAGACATTCAAACTCCATGTATGTTACCATACAGAGGTGATTTCTGTGTGTCTGCTGGCACTACGGGGGCTGTTGGTCTTGACACAACCTGAGTTATTACTTAAAGAAGTTCACTACTTGTAAAAAATGCGTAGACAAATCTAACAATTCCCCATTCTGTGGCCCGGCAGGGAGGCATCTTATGCCCAGCAGGCCGTAGGGCTTACAATACACTGGTGGAAACCCTGCTCTGTCTTTACATGTCAAAAAACACAACTGGGCAAAATACATATAAAACACAGAATAGTAAAATGATCATACCCGTCATTGTGCTGCCCTATCGGTGCCAAACCCACTGAGGTTCTCAGCTGGCACCTGCTTGTTCTGCACGGCAGCTTTTACAACAGTGACCATGGAGTCAGCGTCATCACTGACTGCTCTGATGTGAAAAACCAGTATCTCTTAATCCAGCTATCTGAAAGAAACATAAACCACATCAAATCTAGCATGATGAGGGGTTTGATAAAGATGAAACAAGGAGTTATTTGGGGAGAATGGCAATCACGATAAAAGATATTGGTGATGAAGCGGGAACAATTCCCTCGTAATGTTATTCCTGCCTTTTACTCGCTCCTCCATCTACTGTTGAACCTCCGAGATACAGAAAGTCTGTTTTTCAAACCTGAAGCCCTGCGAGCGTGGTCCCCCAAATATATGTTCATACCTGATGTGCAGATCAGGCTTAAGAAACTGGGAATATCTGTGCTTTCATACCGCTCAAGGCTGATGGCTCAGGATGCACTCTTCTGCTCCATTAGAGGTTTTTCGATAAGAAAGAATTATGATTATCATTTTTGACCAACTAAGACGGGCAATTAAACCCCCCAGTTATAGCTCATGCTGCATAATAATGACAAGCTCAGAGGCATTCATGAAAAAATAGTGACAATTCCCAACACATCACGTCTGAAACTTTAGGGATTATTCTTTGAATGAGTTGTCGATGTGACTTTAGTAAGGTTAGGAAACGACCTAATGCAATGGATTCATGCTTTGTTGGCGGTGCTCAGTATTGATATGTTGCTCCAGATAATCCTTTCTGTAATGGACGGCTCC